CTTGTACAAATGGTCACCAACTTACCATGACGCAGCTTACAATTTTCCAACTTTACATTGGTTTTCATTGGGTAGTGGCATGAAGACCCTGGTTGGAGTCTCTCTTTCAATCATGGAAGAAACAAATGAATAAATGTTTAAAAAAAAAAGGCAGAACAATGGACAATCTCTGGGGGGATGGAATTGGGTTGCAGGAGTGGCAAGGGGGTTTGCATCATAGAAACTTTGGTATCTTTTGAAATGTGTTCTATGGAAAATATTAACTAAATAATTTTATAATAATGCCAAATGATACAAATTGGGAGACATGCAGGGTTCTGGGGCACAGATGGAACATCTAAAAAAAAAAAAAATCCAAACTCAGCCTGTGAACATAGAGAACCACAAATTCTGGAATTTGAGTATGTAGGTTCAAATCCTGACTCTACCAGATACAATTTGTGTGACAGGCCAGGTTTCTTGGACTGTTTATACATCAGTTTCCTCATCTTACATATGGGGATGATGTTAATGGTTCCTATCTCAGAGGGCTGTTGTAAATGTTATATTAATTAAGACATGTCAAGCACTCGTATATCTCGTCAGTGATGCCCATGTGTGTATTCTACATAGCAGTAACCGCATCTACTTTGAAGTTTGATCTTGACTAAATCCCTGTTTCTCCTAGGGAAGATTTCATATAGTCATATTTCTCTCAGTAGCCTCCCCAAATTCTTCATTTTGTGCATTTGATACTTTCAGGTAGAAAAAGCAAATACTCTTTTGGAAACCTCGGATGGGTTTGCACCGTCATCAGATCTGCACGATGGTCAGGCAGAGCATCACGGAGCCATCAAGGACACTAAAAGCCACAGAATCAGCACTTGAGGACACCGAAAGCCAAACGAGCCAGCAGTGAAGGCAAGTAGGGGAGAAGAAACCGCACTGGGGCCCACAATGGTACCAGGCGGCAGTTCTGACATGGGGCTAAAGATGTGCAGTGGAGAGGCACAATTAGCTTCGGTTTATGTCTTCTTACAGTTTTTATATCTGCACTGAAATTAGCTTCCTTTCCTTCTCTCACTTGAAGAGAACTAATCTCTGATAATTAAGCCCAAAGTTTGCTGGCTGGAGTCCACCATGTCACATAAATATATTTCCAGTTCTTGGTTCTATTATTTTACAGCAGTGAACTTATTTATTATATGTGGTAATATATTTCCTTGTTCTCTGGTGCCTCCTAGACCTTAAAGCAGAACAAATGCTTTAATAAAAATGTGTGTTATTTCTTCCTTGAAACCGAAAGGCTGTATTATTAGGGCTTGTAGAATGGTTGGGGTTTGGGATGATTTTAATGAATCATTGCCTAATATTTCTTTACTTGTGACACATATATGATTAGTAAATGTTGTCTGCTCACTGATTAACTTTGTTTATTTTCTAATTAGTTTTAGGATCAGCTGTCTTGTGGTTATTGAAATAATTGTTTGATTAATGTGTGAATTTACATTTTCATTACACTACTGAATAAGTTCTGTCCCAATTAGCTGCAATGCCCCATGCCGATCTGGGGCACCAGGATTGCAATTTTCACCCAATAAGTAATAACTATTATATTGATTGGTGATAATTGGGTGTAGATGGTAAATACACATTAGTGGAATTTAAATTATACAACAACAGGTTCTCTCAGTTTGCTTCCAAAGTGGCAGTTCTAGAGATGGACACCCATGGTTCAAACAGAGTGGGGCCCACGTACTCACCAATGTTCTTTTTGATAATTCCATGAAGTTTCAAGAACTCTAGAAATCAGCCAATCTGCTGGAATTTTTTTTTTTTTTGTGTGAACTTGTGAATGTCTTCTTAAATTTCTCCCTAGCCCCCTTGCTTACCTGGTCTCTGCCTGTTCCTTTGATAAGACCCCATAATGCCCCCCCCCATACCTCCACCTCCCTTGGCCTGCTATTGTAGCTTTAAATGTGCTTAAATCCTGCAAATAAAGTTCTTCCTTCCTAGCCAACCATTTTGTTAGGCTTCCTGATGTAAGCAACATAGACTCACTCAAGGTGTCTCATTGTAAGGATGTGAGTGGAGCAGAGCTACAACCAGGAAGTCCATGGAGTTAGGTAACTTGGGGTATCTCTACCTGTCTCTGTTTCTCTCCATCTCTTTGCCTTTCTCTTTTTTGTTTCTGCATCTCAACCTCTGTCTCCATTGCTGTTGCTCTCACTCTCTCTCTGTCCTACTTTACACTTTTTTCCCCCCCAAGTCTCCAATATTGCCCATAGCCAAGTTTCCTGCCCCATTAGTTGTTTCTCCTCCCTATAGCTGCAACCTGATGTGGCTTGGTTTGCTGTGTTTCCAGCTCGGCCCCAAGGTAGCATCTCACAAACTCTCTTGGTCTCTCCTTTTTCTGGCTTCCAATACTGAGGGAAAAATGTTGACCTTGAGACCTTGTCATGTATGGGCTAGTCACCTGCCACTAAAATATTATTCACCATAGGCCTCTACCAGCTGGGCTAAAAATGTACTAAAGACATTTAAAAAAATGAGTTCCTTAAAAAATGTCATATCATGAATTATGAGGTGAACTTTTATCAGTATCATACTTGGGAAACCAGCATTTTCCCAATATACATGAAAATAAAAGTATAATGATTTAAAATTTAAAAAGTTGTATGTGTGCCAACTGGAGTTGTTTCCTGTACCACCATTGTGAGGCATCTGGGGAAGCAGCTGGGGTAATACCTTTCTTCCTTCTATTTTTAAAATTTATCCATCTCTGAAAGAGAGAGAGAAGCACCTCAACAGTGTTCCTATGTGAATTTAGAGAGCCCTTCTGAGACAGACTCACTCCATTTCCCCACTGGGTTCAGGTACAACCACTGCAACCTCAGGTCCTTATTCTTTTGAAGGCTGCCATATTTATTATTTACCAGCAGTCTCAGGATTGGTTGCCGTTAGGTCCTGTGCCCACCCTTGTCCAGTCAGCTGTGTCTAAGGGTGGGTGGGGCCTGGTCAGGTGACCTAGAACTGAGCCAAATGGGTACTGAGCTTCCCTCTGAGAGAGAGCTAAGAGATAGGGGGCTGTTGGGTACTTCCAGCTGCCAGATTTCGAGCTGCACCTCCAGGCACAGGATCACAATTCATCCTGAGGATAACTTCATGAGGAGGATGTCAGTAGTCCCGTTTCTCTGTCCTTGAAAGCCTACAGAGCAAGATAACCCCATAAAGCTCAAAGGAAAGCTCGATTTGAGATCCTAGGGAGATGTTGGCCTATTTGGGACCATTCATAAACATTTCCCTCCAGAGCTGCATCTCTGCCTGGAATCCAAGTTCAACCCTAGTGGCCTCTGAAAGTGGAACTCCTCCCCTTCAAATTCCTGAAAGGCAGAGCTGCTTTGAATGAGAAGCCATGAGCAATCTGCCAGGGAGGTTTCTGCTGAGTCTGGAGGAAAAGCGTATGGGGAGTGATGAGAACACTGGGCAACTCTCATCCAGAGAGATGCCTGCCTCTGCTCAGATTGCTGCTTGCCACACCACAGGCTGGCAACAGACTGGGGTGCCCAAGAGGTGCCTCACAAGGTAGGAGGACGGCTCCGAATGCAGAACGTGCTGTGTTTTCTCCATCTGTGGCTGGACTGACCCCAGCACGGCTCTGTCCCCTGCATTAATCCAGCTCCACTCTGAGGGTTATTCCGAGGCTATTTCCTTACCCTCCTCTTGTTTCTCTTCCCACAGCACAGCCTCCAGATTTAAAAAAAACAGAGCAGGGAAGGGAGCTTTTTGAAAATATGGCACCTGCCTGCTAGGTGGCCGACTCCAGAGGAAAGAACTTATGCCGGCTGCAGCGACTCCAGGCTGGACATAGTGCCTGACCCGTGGTAGGTCCTCAGTTATGATTTGTGAATGGGCGGAGGAGACGGAATGGTAGCGGTGGCCTCCAGAGTAAATAGACAAAGAGAGGGAGAAGATCTTTCATTTTTAGTAAGAATATGGCCAAAATAGGAGTCCAAAATGGAACAGAGAACCACACTGAGTCTTTTTTCCTGATGGCATCAAAAATATCGGCTTGCCCCAAAGGAAACCAGAATCATTTTTAGCTCCAGCAGAAATTCTCTCTCAGAGACTCAGCCAAGAGCAAATTGTGTGATGCAGTTTTCCAAGAGGAAGAAACGCCTGTTTTCCCAAATGTGTCTCTCAGAAGTCTCCATACTCCCTAGGGGGACCTGGTGTGGCGTGCAGGTTGACAGGGCATGTTTTTGAGTTGAGCTGCCTGGCATTTGCTGGCTGTGTGACTCTAGACCCTCTTATTCTCAGTTTTTCCCAAAACAGGGATTATAGTAGGAATCGCCTTGTAAGATTATTATAAGAATTACGGAGATAATTCCCATGAAACATCTAGCCCAGTGCCCAGGTCATGTAAATCTCAGTCGATAAGTTCCACTTCTCCCTCTGGGCCTGTGTATATTTTTGGATTTGATATGCTCCATTCCCCTGAAGATGGAGAGATGTTGTATTTTACATTGTATTGTGAGGTTTCTGGCTTAAATGGGGGGGGGGTTATTGGGCATGGGGCAGAGGGAGGGTAGGACAATGTTCTGTCCTGGCTGGAGCCTGAGTTCAACTCTGGTCTAGTGTAGGTGATGCTAATGAGCACAGGCCATGAGTGAAGCTCAGTGTTAGGCACGTATAGAGCTGAAGATTCCCACTGCTCTCCAGGTGCGCACGGCCTTTTAGAAGCGAGCGACAAGATGGTGGCTGATGGCTGCTCTCAGCATATTTAAGATTAGAGTGTTGTACAGAAAGTAGTAATCCAGTCTTTTGATTAATCCTTGAGCAGAGGGCGCTGTTCCAGGAGGAATAAAACGATTTCTTGTCTTCCAGAGACCTGGCCCTCCATGGCATATTGCTGCTTGCTAAAGGCTGTGCTATTGTTCTGCTGTGGCATAAAGGAATCTTGATTATCAGCTTAAAGATGGAGAAGATAGGGCAGGGCAGGGAGAAGAGGCTAGAGGCTGGGTACTTGGAACAGGCTCCATTTCTGAGAGGGCCAGTCTCCTGGTCAATGACCAGTGACTATGAAGGGCAACATTTGAGCCTGGCCTTGTGGAGACCAGCCCAGTGTCCTGGAAGTGGCTCACCCAGCCTGGATGCCCATCATGTTCAGGGAACAACCCCCTGCCTGGACCTCCCTGTTTATAGTCTGGCCACCAGGCAAATGGCATCGAGGTCCCCCTGGCTTCATGCCACCTATTTATTGGTTTGTAAGGATGCCACCCTAAGGATACGCACTAGTCCTCAACCAGATCCTTAGAAACTCCAGAAAGATGTGGATAAGAAGAGGGAGCTCCCCAGCCAGGCATCTGGAGCTTAACTAAACACCCCAGGTCATCCCAACGTGGGGGCAGCAAGCAGAAGACACCTCTGTTGTAGATGTAAAATTTACTTAATAAAACCAAAGTTATGTCTGAGCTTACTATAACCAAAATGTCTAGAAGTAGGGTATGAACCCAGGAAAAGCTGGATCCAGTACGCTGGCATTGTCACCAAGGTTCTTATTTCCTCCGGTCCTCCTCTCCCTGCTCTCCCTGCGTCAGCTTAATTGGAAGACAGCCTGTCCTTGTGGTCAAAAGAGATCTATCAGAACCTTTCCTGGGGACATAAGTGTCCTTATTCACACCCCAGGGAAGAGAGAGAGGAGACTTTAGAGGAATCCATGTAAGTCTTGGGTCTCATTAGATTGATTTTGGTGACATTTTTAAAATTTTTAATTTTTTCCCGTTATGGCTCAGGGTAAGGGGGAGGGATGGCAGTGGGGAGAGGGAGGAAGGATGGAAGCACCTTTGTTCAGCAGAGTCTCACCATGCTATGACCTCTCTACCTCAGTTTCCCAGTCAGCCAGGACCACAGGCACGTGCCACCATGTCTAGCACCTCCAGGCTGAGGAGAGAACTAAACTGGGCCTTCCATGTGGCCCCAGTCAGCCATGGTACAGTGGTGCCTTCCTACCCATGTCCCTGTGGCTAGGCCCATGTTCATCTTTTAACCAGTCCCCGTGGCTGGAGGAGGCGGGAGGGTGACATTCACTGATTGGGTCACCCACCTCTGGGTAGAAGGGTAGCTGAGGTGGAATCAGTCCTGACACACAATGTGTTGGCTACATAATGGGAAGGAGGTCAGTCTCCTCTTCCTACCCCCCACCAAGGGAAATTAGGAGGAAAGCAAGGGAGGGTGTATCTGAGAGGTGTCTTAGCTTGGGCTCTTCCCAAAGCTAGTCCTGAGATGAGGATTCCAGTTCAAGTGGTTTATTTGGGAAGTAATCCCATGGAGGCAGAGAAAGGAGACTGAAGCCACCCAGAGCATCTAGTCGTGGTTCAGCTGAAGAATACGAACTTTATCTCAGTGGTAATGGGGAGCCAGCAAGGATGCTTTCAGTGTGGGTAGATGCCAGCCAGATCTGAATCTCAGGGCTATAACTGTAGAGCCTGAATTGAATTCCCAAGTGTTCATTAGCTTCAGTTCATATCGCTATCAAGCCTGTTCCTTGCAGGGTGGGTCACTTACAGAGAGAGCTGTGAGTCCAAGGACATGGTAGACAGTAAGGCAGGGGCATCCAAGTCTCTGTAATTCAAGGTTTTCAGCGCCAGCTAGAGGCATAACTAAGTGCAGAATTATTCAGGAAGCACCGAAGGTCCACATCTGATTGAGACAAGCCCAAGAGGAAGATCTGCATAGGCTGCCACCTCTGGGGTTGGAGCCTGGCTTCTTGCAGGGGGCACGCCCAGAACACCCTTCTACGTGGGCTGGGAGGATGGTTAGTACCGAGTTTCCTAGGAGCCTGCGGGCTAAGGCAGTCGAGGCACCATGACCACACCATGACCACAGCTGTTTGTGTTCCATCAAGCACTGGGTGGAGGGGGAAAAAAGGCTGTTTTCCTGTTTGGTCTTAATTCATTTTTTTCCCCTCCACCATGGAAGTATGCTTGAAAGGAAGAGAAAAGGCTCTCACTTAACTCTTCTTCCACTAAGCAAGAAAAGGCTAGAACTTGGGACAAGAAAACTAGGAGATGGTCATTTATCTACCATCAAGTGGTGTGATCTTAGGGGCCAGATGGTGGTGCAGCGGTAAAATGCAATGTTCTCTGAGGTGACCCACGTAGCAAGGTTCTTGGTTCACATCCAGAGACCTCCCTGAGTGTACTGGGCCCCTGTGATCCAGGATGGCTAAACCTGGGGAAAATCATGGAGTCAAGACCCTGTTAGAGACTCTCTCTCGCTTCCTCTCTCTCTTGCTCATGGAAGACATAAACTTAAAAAATGATGTGACTTAAGCCAGTCAGTTTGCCTCTCTGGAGGCAAAAATGATGAGATTGGAATGAATGACTGACCTCAAGGGTCAGGTCCTCCAAGGGAAATATTTCACAAGCCACAAACATAAGCTGCATGTATAACCTTCAATTTTCTAGTAGTCACAAAAGGGACTATTAACAAAAAGGGAAAAGAAACAAGTAAAGTTACTTTTAATAATACATTGTCTGTAACCCAGTATATTAAAAGTATTATAATTTCAGCATGTAATTAACGTAAAATATTATTAACGTAATATTTCACATTCATCTTTTTCTACTGAGTCGTCAAAATGGAATATGTCTGTATACTTTACAGGATAGCTTAATTTTCTTTCTACATTTCTCTTTCTTTCTTTCTTCTCTTTTTTCTCTAGAGGGTGCATGTGCTTACCAGAGAGAAAAAAATTAAAGAGAAATCACTCCCTGTGAGGGTTGGCCATGCTGCAATCCCTTCTCCTCCATTTTTCTCTTGGGATTTTGGGCATGCACACATGCCTGGTATGTTTTTCAAGCCACCAGGTCTGGGACTCGAACTAGAAAATTGTCACGTGGGATCCAGCTGCCTTAAGCACCATACCACTGGCTGACTCTTGACTGTCCACATTTCAAGTGCTCTGTAGCTACAATGGAGCCAGGGGCTACTGTATTGGGCTGCTCAGCTCCTACATCTCCCAGACTTTGACTTTAGACTGTGGGATTCCAAGACAGACTTGCACTGAGACATGTAGACAAGGTTAAATAACAAGAAAGAGCTTCTCGTGAGAGTAGGCTTTTAAAATGCAGGCTGTGGGTCCTCAGGGAGGTTGTGAGATCTTTATTCTACTGGAATCGGACAGAGTTGCATTTAAATATAATCCTGGCCCTACTACTTCCTGGCTGAGGGTCCTTGGGCAAGTCACTTTCATCTCTCTAAGTCTGAATGTTCTTATGAATCAAACAGTTATGACGATATTCTTATGGCAGTAATATAGATTAGACAAGGCACTGTATAGAAAGCACTCAACTCAGGGTCTGGAATATTTTAAGCACTTGATTTTAACAGATAGTATTATTAGTTCCTTGAAGTAACATTAAAACCAGGATTCCATGCATCGGGAAAAAATAAAGTTTTTTCCTTGTTCTCCTCATGGGACAAGATGTTGTAGGTCTAGATCTTAGAACGGGATGAAAGGTACTAGACTGTCCTCCCCATTGTGTGTCCTGAACGATGTCACTCATCGATCATAGCTTCTCTCAGTCCGAGCCCTGATGAAACCTCAGGAGCCTTCTTACCACAGGCAGCCAGGACCCATCAATCGGGACTGGCAAGCAGATGAAATGTACATGCGGTCCCTGCATTAGCATCGCGCGAGAGAAGTGTCAGAATCCCAGGAGACAACACTAAACAGCGACAAAGTGCCGGGGGAGAGAGAGAGAGGCGGAGATAGAAAGATCAGAAGAGAGAGAATGAGAGCAGCAGCAGTTTTCGGCAGGGGATTTCAGGGTGACCGAGCCTGCACCCAGCTCCCCCGGGAATCCTGCATTGGCTGGAG